GTATCTGCGACATCTGGCTGGTTTATGCTATAAATAATAGTGAGGTGGGTCTTGTGGTTCATTCTGTATCTGATAAGACTCCTTTGAGAACGCCATTAGGGATGCAGTGAGCATCTGAAATAAAAAAAAATATATAAAGCGCATTTGCATTGATCAAACACTTGAAATGACAAACTGGCATGAATGAACACATCTGGTGAACAAACACTTGTAATGAACACCTGTAGCACACAAACACAGCAAGCACCTATGTGAACACTTTGTCTGACTTTTTTTGGTAATCCTAGGATCTCTACACATCTGCTGCTAAGTATGATAATCTGTGTAACTGTATTTGTGTATACCTGAATAAACTTATTTAACACTTCCCTTAAACGCTGAATCTAGAGTAGTGGTGAAGCTCGTACCTATGGGTAGGAACATCTTTGGCAGGGGTGCCACTCTCCCCACCGGGTGCCATTCTCCCCCATAGGGTGCCGTTCCCCCCCATAGGGTGCCGTTCTCCCCTAAAGGATGCCATTTTCCCCACAGGGTGCTAAACTGATTCAAGAACCCAGTATCACCTTTGGTATAATGGAGATATTTCCTGTTTTGTCTGATTTTGCTAACACTTATGGCTAAAAACTCAGAACGAATTACGAATATGAACTCTGCAATATACATATAAAAAATGACGTAAAACAGCGTTAATAGGTTATTATTAGTAGCATAACAGGACAACAGTAAATTAATAATGTTGGGAAAAATATATGTTTAAAGCACTGTAAATCCAAGTGGGTCTAGTAAATTGTAAATAAATAAAAAATAAGACCCTTAGTAGAGAAACAGTTCAAATAAACACCTGGACGAAACACCTGCTTTAAATATGTGCACATACATAATACCTACTAAATGCTGACGCTCTAATAATACTTAAAATGCTATTATATTCCTAGGTAAGGGCTATTTAACTATTCAGTACTGGACCATACCCTAAAAGGGCTCTTGATCAAAGGCATTGCAGCTACTTTCCCCCCTTATCTGGGTCAAACATTGAGTGAAGAATAAAAAGGACCAATACAGTGACAGGAACAACATACAAACATCCCACGTATGGGACACTGAACTTATGACGGCGTTTCGGTCCGATTTAGACCATTAACTGGCCACACTATAAGTCGGACCAAAACGTCGTTATAAGTTCATTTTCTTATGTGCGGGTTGTTAAATAATAATAATTAATAATAATAATCAAACACTGGGGCACATTCCGGTTTAACTACACTCCTATATTTATATAATTTAATTTTAACTTCATTATTACATATTATTATAGTCACAAAGAGTCAAACTCGTTCATTTGATCCATAAATTATTCGGAAAAGTAAAATTCACAACTTTCATTTAATATAACTTCAAAAGCATTGTAAACTTTCAAAAGAAAGTTTTATTTTTTCGTAAATTAGATTTTTTTTTTTTTACTTTTATTATTAACTGGAATTTTCTTGACGCCAGTGAGGCTCTTGATTTATGGAAGCAAATCTGACGTTTGGTTCCTTGGATGCAACTTCACTGCTTCCCATTCCTCCCAGGAGCTTTATAACCCCTGAGGCTTTAGCACTTCCCATGAATGAAATGTGACTAGTACAGTGTGACTAGGATACTTTTTGTAAATAAGTATTTTGATACGATAATTTTTCTGGAAATATATTCTAGCCAATATTTATATAGGTTACACACGCCGCAAGGTGTATGTCTGTCAGCGTATATGTTTACTTGAATCTCAATGACAATACTTAGAATGCTATTATATTCCTAGGTAAGGGCTATTTAACTATTCAGTACTGGGCCATACCCTAAAAGGGCTTTTGATGAAAGGCACTGGAGCTTCTCTCCCCATTACCAGGATCTCCATGATTCTGGTAATGATCAGGTTACGTGATGTCTTAATGACCCTCGTGTAGTATTGTAGATAGGTTTTTAAACCAAATTAACTAATTAAGCATAGCAACAATAATGCTGAAAATAATAAATTCATTAGTATATTCTCTGTCGTATTCTTCATTTTTTCAGTTATGTGTAGCCTATATATTTCAGATTTTGGAGGGGTTTTTATGATTAAAAATGGGCGTCATTATATAGTTTACTGGGTGTTACGGTTACTGTTATTCAGGGGAAGCATTAAACCAATAGAGCAAAAAAAGTGGATTATCAGCTTTGATCCAAGGAAAGGGAAATTTGCTAATTCCTTGGATCAAGTGCCCTTCTCCGGCATCAAGGCACCTCCTTGGATTAAGAGACATGGTACCTACCTCAATTAAGCTAAAAATGATTAAATTTAACATTTACATTATTATAAGAATCATGCATTATGTCTTATTTAATATTTATATTATTATTGGAATTATCCATTATTAATAGTATCATTAAAATAAAATATAACTGTTATTACCTCTTGGAAAGGCACTAGTAGGAAGATTAGTTGACATATAAGGAAGCTCACTGTGGTGATGGCCTGTCGAAAAGAAAATACTGTTTTAGAATGGATTCTGTACGTTGAATATATGTAACATAAGCGAATCCTCTCGGAGAAAATTAAACAGGCAGTAAAAGTAGAGTCCTGTGTATTCCAACCTCCAGCTAAGGTCTTCGTTAGCAGACTGCTAAAGAACAACTTGGAGGTCGAAATATATAGGACTTCCTCCTGTTTGATGTTACTCAAGTTCGCTTGTTACGATGACCAGTGTTTATTGCACTAATATATTTTATATATATAATATATATATATATATATATATATATATATATATGTATATATAATATATATATATATATATATATATATATATATATATATATATATATATATATAATATAATGTCGTGCCGAATAGGCAGAACTTGCGATCTTGGCTTATATAGCAACGCTCATCTTGCCATATAGGACAAGCGAAAATTTGTGTATGCAATAATTTCGCAAAAATCATTCTGAATCTAACGAAAAAAATATATTTGATTGTGTTTGATTAGTGCTAAATTATTGTAAACGTATTTAAAATATATTTAGTTGGGTTAGGCTAAAATAAATTGCTCTTGTTATAACAATGTTAGGTAAGTTTTCTAAGATTCTTTTGGTGCAAAATTAAATTTTTTTACATTAACTTTTAATGAAAAAATATATCTTTAAAACGTAAAGAGAAAATTCAGAAAGGGCTTAATTTTAAACGAGTCTTGCTAATTTGAACCAGTTTTACATATTCGGCACGACATTATATATATATATATATATATATATATATATATAAAATATTATATATAATATATATATATATATATATATATATATATATAATATATTATCAACAAATTTTGTTGAAAATAAGAAAAAGTTTTGGAGTGAGATTAACAATTTAAAGAAAGCCTAAGAACAAATGAATTTGTCAGTTAAAAATAGGAGAGGAAGTTATTAAATGGAGAGTTAGAGGTATTGGGAAGATGGAGGAAATATTTTGAGGAATTGTTAAATGTTGACGAAGATAGGGAAGCTGTGACTTTTTGTATAGGACAAGGAGAAAAAACATCTTGTAGGAGTGAGGAAGAGCCAGTTGTGAGTTGTGGGGGAAGTTCGTGAGGCAGTAGGTAAAATGAAAGGGGTAAGGCAGCCGGGATGATGGGATAAAGATAGAAATGTTAAAAGGGGTGGGGATATGGGTTTTGGAGTGGTTGGTTGCAATTATTTAATAAATGTATGGAAGAGGGTAAGGTACCTAGGGATTGGCAGAGAGCATGCATAGTTCCTTTGTATAAAGGCAAAGGGATAAAAGAGAGTGAAAAAATTATAGGGGGATAAGTCTGCTGAGTATACCTGGTAAAGTGTATGGTAGAGTTTTTATTGAAAAAATTTAAAGTAAGACGGAGAATAGGATAGCAAAATGAACAAGGAGGCTTTAGGAAAGGTAGGGGGTGTGTGGACCAGGTGTTTACAGTGGAAACATATAAGTGAACAGTATTTAGATAAGGCTAAAGAGGTCTTTGTGGCATTTATGGATTTGGAAAAGGCGTATGACATGGTGGATGGGGGGGAAATGTGGCAGATGTTGCAAGGTGTTGGTGTAGGAGGTAGGTTACTGAAAGCAGTGAAGAGTTTTTACGAGGATAGTGAGGCTCAAGTTAGAGTATTTTAGGAAAGAGGGAAATTATTTCCCCAGTAAAAGTAGGCCTTAGACAAGGATGTGTGATGTCACCGGGGTTGTTTAATATATTTATAGATGGGGTTGTAAGAGAAGTAAATGCGAGGGTCTTGGCAAGAGGCGTGGAGTTAAAAGATAAAGATCACACACAAAGTAGGAGTTGTCACAGCTGCTCTTTGCTGATGACACTGTGCTCTTGGGAGATTCTGAAGAGAAGTTGCAGAGATTGGTTGATGAATTTGGTAGAGTGTGCAAAAGAAGAAAATTAAAGGTGAATACAGGAAAGAGTAAGGTTATGAGGATAAAAAGATTAGGTGATGAAAGATTGAATATCAGATTGGAGGAGGGGGGTATGGAGGAGGTGAATGTATTCAGATATTTGGGAGTGGCCCGTGTCAGCGGATGGGTCTATGAAAGATGAGGTGAATCATAGAATTGATGAGGGGAAAAGAGTGGAGTGGTGCACTTAGGAGTCTGTGGAGGGACAAAAAACTTTGTCCTTGGAGGCAAAGAGGGGAATGTATGAGAGTATAGTTTAACAACGCTCTTATATGGGTGTGAAGCAGGGGTGATGAATGTTGCAGCGAGGAGAAGGCTGGAGGCAGTGGAGATGTCATGTCTGAGGGCAATGTGTGGTGGGGAATATAATGCAGAGAATTCGTAGTTTGGAAGTTAGGAGGAGGTGCGGGATTACCAAAACTGTTGTCCAGGGGGCTGAGGAAGGGTTGTTGAGGTGGTTCGGAATGTAGAGAGAATGGAGGAAAACAGAATGATTTCCCAAGAGGGGTATCAGTCTGTAGTGGAAGGAAGGCGGGGTAGGGGTCGGCCTAGGGAAGGTTGGAGGGAGGGGGTAAAGGAGGTTTTGTGTGCGAGGGGCTTGGACTTCCAGCAGCATGCGTGAGCGTGTTTGATAGGAGTGAATGGAGACAAATGGTTTTTTTTTACTTGACGTTTCTGTTGGAGTGTGAGCAAAGTAACATTTATGAAGGGGTTTAGGGAAAAACCCGGCAGGCCCGGGCTTGAGTCCTGGAGATGGGGGAAATACAGTGCCTGCACTCTGAAGGAGGGGGTTAATGTTCAGTTTAAAAACTGTAGTGTAAAGCACCCTTCTGGCAAGACAGTGATGGAGTGAATGATGGTGAAAGTTTTTCTTTTTCGGGCCACCCTGCCTTGGTGGGAATCGGGCCCGTGTGATAATATATATATATATATTTATATTATATATATATAAATAATATATATATATATATATATATATATATATATATATTCGCCATGGGGAATTGGAACAGAATTCTTCCTCCGTAAACCATGTGTGTCATAAGGGCGAACTAAAATGCCGGGAGCAAGGGGCCCCGTAACCCCTTCTCTGTATATTTACTAAATGTAAAAGGAGAAAATTTCGTTTTTTCCTTTGAGCCCTCCTGCCTCAGTAGGATACGGCTGTTTGTTGAAGATATATATATATTTTATATATATATTTTAAAAATAATTATATATATATATATAATAATAATGTATATATATATATTATATATATATATATATATATATATATTATATATATATATATATATATATATATATATATATATATATATGTATGATGCAAAACAACCACTGTGAAAGAACAGAGAAATTCCAAGTGCTTTCGTGACTAACTCACATTATCAAGGAACTATGATAATGTGAGTAGTCACGAAGCGCTTGGAATTTCTCTATTCTTTCACAGAGGTGTTTTGCATATTCTGAAATCACCTGTTTACTGTGATCTTATTGCATTATATATATATATATATATATATAAAATATTATATATATTATATTATATATATATTATATATATATATATATTATATATATATATATAATTTATATATATAATGTCGTGCCGAATAGGCAGAAACTTGCTATCTTGGCTTAAATAGCAACGCTCATCTTGCCATATAGGACAAGTGAAAATTTGTGTATGGGAAATAATTTCGCCAAAATCATTCTGAACCTAACTAACAAAATATATTTCACTGTGTTTGTTTAGTATTAAATTATTGTAAACAAATCTAAAATATATATAGTTGGGTTAGGCTAAAATAAATTGTTCTTGTTATAAAAAGGTTAGGTAAGTTTTCTAATATTCTTTTGGTGCAAAATTAAAAAAATTTTACATTAACATTAATTAAAAAATATATCTTTAACGTATAAGAGAAAATTTTAGAATGGACTTAATTTAAATGGTTCTTTCTATTGACCATTTTTTCATATTCGGCACGACATATTTTATATATATATATATAAAATATATATATATAATATATATATATAATATATATAATATATATATATATATATATTATATATATATTATTTTAGGTAGTAGGTTAGTAAACAGCAACTGCCCAGGGAGGTACTACCGTCCTGCCAAGAGAGTGTAAAACGAAAGCCTGTAATTGTTTTACATGATGGTAGGATTGCTGGTATCCTTTTTTCTGTCTTATAAACATGCAAGATTTCAGGTACATCTTGCTACTTCTACTTACACTTAGGTGACACTACACATACATGTAAAAGCATATATATACATACCCCTCTGGGTTTTCTTCTGTTTTCTTTCTAGTTCTTGTTCTTGTTTATTTCCTGTTATCTCAATGAGGAAGTGGAACAGAATTCTTCCTCCATAAGCCATGCGTGTTGTAAGAGGCGACTAAAATGCCGGGAGCAAGGGGCTAGAAACCCCTTCTCCTGTATAAATTACTAAATTTAAAAAGAGAAACTTTCGTTTTTCTTTTAGGGCCACCCTGCCTCGGTGGGATACGGCCGGTGCATTGAAAGATATATATATATATATATATATATATATATATATATATATATATATATATATATATATATATATATATATATATATATATATATATATATAAAAGAATCTTAGAAAAAACTTACCTAACTTTATTATAACAAGCTCAATTTATTTTAGCTTAACCCAACTAAATATATTTTAGATTTGTTTACACTAATTTAATACTAAACAAACACAGTGAAATATATTTTTTTCGTTAGGTTCAGAATGATTTTGGCGAAATTATTGCATAAACAAATTTTCGCTTGTCCTATATGGCAAGATGAGCGTTGCTATTTAAGCCAAGATCGCAAGTTCTGCCTATTCGGCACGACATTATATAATATATATATTATATATATATATATATATATATATATATATTATATATATTATATATATATATATATATATATGTCATGCCGAATATGTAAAACTTGCGATCTTGGCTTAAATAGCAACGCTCATCTTGCCATATAGGACAAGTGAAAAT